AGGAAGACATGGGTACCATTTCATTAGCCTAATTTTAAAGCATAGATATGGAAGAAGAGATTGTCCATTAATTTTCTTTGTAAATCCTAAAGGGATCCCACAGGTTTTTCCCATGTTGAAGAATACCTCTGCAGCCTTTTCTAATAGACTGCATTTACACATGGAACTTAGAATAACTGTTTATGTTATGGCAGATGGCATGGTTAGGAAACTGTCACCTAACTTTTGAAAATATTGAAGTCAAAGTATTCCTGAAGTGCTCTGCTATGGCTCAATCTAGTCTACCTGGACCTAAACATTTTTAATACATATGTGCTAATTTGCCTTTGTTGACTTTTAATTATTGGTGTCTCTAAAATGACCACAGATCAAGTTGAACCATAGTATGTACACCCTTACTTGAAATATGGTGAGACATCCTTTGAAGGTTGACCACGTAACAACTGGGTTGTTAACTTTACACCATAATGTGTCTTTCAAAGAATCTGAACAGGATCAAGTGATTAAACTGCCTTTAGTTAGAATTTAAGCACTGGTATTAGTTCTGAGAAAACTGCTGGAATAATATGTTTGAATGTCACATCCAAAAAAAAAATAAAATCAAAGTGACTAAGTCAGAACCAAGGCAAATATATCAAAAAGAAACCATCTGAAAGATATGATCTATTTATAACTAGCACACTTAAAAAGCCTAATAATTAACCTCTAAAGTAGACAAAATTGAAGGACCTGATCACCTCTAGATAATCTTGTAAGAATGGCCTTATCCAACTGTTACATTAAAGATACGGCACCTTGACAATTCTCTCTCTCTTTTTTTTTTTTGCCAAGAACAGATTGTTTCCTTGATTCTGGAAGAAAATGTGTGGTCCTATAGGATTTCAGAGTGAGAGTAAAGCTCTGGTGGCAACACAATTAAAGTAAGTAATCTTAAAATAAATTAAAAAATGCCTATTTATAAAATAGGACACAAAGTTTGCAATGCCACCAACAATAATAAACCAAGGTCATGGAAAGACAACTGGCTGTTGAAGTTTTATTAATGCAGGAGCTTCTATGAAGGGAAATGACAAATTTTTGATGCAATAACTCTAGCTTTTGAGAAATAATTTAGGAAGCTTTGGGCATGTCTATTGCCATTTTAAGCCAGATATCTTTGACTCTACTAATTTTTAACTTTCTGCTTCAAGAAAAATCATGATCGCTCTCCACCACCAGTGTCTCTTGCCATTTCATCCTAACTGTATTAGTCTTTTCAAAGACGTTTCTCTCCAAGTATATCCCAAAGGTGCTTTTTCAAGAAGAAAGTGGGCTTTCTGGCTTTTCTTTGAAGACATTTCACTTCTCATCCAAGAAGCTTCTTTAGCTGAGGAAGATTCTTGGATGAGAAGTGAAACATCTTCAAAGAAAAACCAGAAAGTCCACTTGCCTCTTGAAAAAGCACCTTTGGGAGAACCATGACCTGGATGACTGAGAATCTCCATAGACATTTAGCTATGCACGTTGGGATGAATACCTTGTCAGGCCTGAAGCCATCTTTGTATTGGATCTTCAGGCCTGTCACATTTAGTGCTGTGGGAAACTGGGAGGGTTACTTGGAACCCTGACATACCCTTCAAATGGTGAGGGAGTATGAACGAATTTCCAGAAAAATTACAGACTACAGGAACCATTTATGCTTCAGTTTGAGATTTATTTATTTATTTATTTATTATTCGAATTTCTATACCGCCCTTCTCCTTTCTGACTCAGGGCGGTGAACAGCCAAAATAAAACATTTATACATAAAGTACGATTAAAAATAGATTTAAAATAATTAAATTTGGCCCATAGTTTAAAATTTATCAATTTAAAATCCATATCAAAATTTAAAACCAACCATAAAATCATAAAATCAAGAGAGACCGGCTAACTGAAAGAGATGAGTTTTTAGGGCCCGACGAAATGGAGATAGCACAGACCCATCCCCAACAGCCTGCACCTGTGCTCAGTGAAGGGACACAGGGCACAAAATATTCTGCAGAAAGCACTGCTCCGACTTCTCTTCAGAGCTGAAGAAGCTTCTTGGATGAGAAGCGAAACGTCTTCAAAGAAAAACCAGAAAGCCCAATTCCTCTTGAAAAACCACCTTTGGGACAACCACGACCTGGGTGACTGAGAATCTCCATACACACTCTCCAAGTATAATCAATTAATAGAAGAGAATATATAGTGCACTCAGAAAGCATTGAGACTTCACTTTTGTCAATTTTGTTATGCTGCAGCCTGATTCTACAGTTGTTGGAATTCATTTTTTTTCTCATTAATCTACACTCAATATTCCATGACAAAGTGAAAGCAGAATTTTAGAAATATCTATAAATTTATTAAAAAGAAGAAACTGAAATATCACATTGGCATAAGTATTCAGACTCTTTGCAACCACACTTGAATTTTAGTTCCGGTGCCTCCCATTTCTCTTCATTATTGCTGACATGACTTTGATTGGAGTCAACCTGTGGTAAATGCAGAGCTCAGAGACAGGATTATTGCAAGGTAGTTTTGGCTACAATAAAATTTCTGCTGCACTGAAGGTTCCTAAGAGCACAGTGGCCTCCATAATTCCCAAATGGAAGAAGATTGGCACAAACAGGACTCTTCCAAGAGCTGGTCACCTGGTCAAACTGAGCAATCAAGGGAGAAAGGCCTTAGTAAGAAAGGTGACCAGAACCCAATGGTTACTCTGACTGAGCTCTAAAGATCCCGTGTGGAGATGAGACAGAGTTCTAGAAGGACAACCATCACTGCAGTCCTCCAGCGATCAGTGGTTAAACCGAAGCCTCTCCTCAATGGAAAATACAGAAAGCCCACTTAGAATTTGCAAAAAACCACCTGAAGGACTCTCAGACTGTAAGAAATAAGGTTCTCTGGTCTGATGAAACCAAGATTGAACTGTTTGGCCTCGATTCTAAATATTATGTCTGGAGAAAACCAAGCACCATTCATCACCAGCCCAATATCATCCCAACAGTGAAGCATAGTGGCAGCCTCATGCTATAGAGACATTTTTCAGCAGCAGAGACTGGGAGACTGGTCAGGGTTGAGGGAAAGCTGAATGGAGCAAAGTATAAGGATATCCTCAATGAAAACCTGCTCCACAGTGCTCAGGACCTCCGACTGGGCCGAAAGTTCACTTTCCAACATGCTAAGCACACAGCCAAGACAACACAGGAGTGATTTAGGGATAACTCTGTGGATGTCCTAGTTTGGCCCAGTGAGAGCCTACTTGAAGCCTATTGAACATCTCTGGAGGGATCTGAAAATGGCTGTCCATCGACAGTTGCCATCCAACCTGAGCTTGAGAGGATTTGCAAGGAAGAAAGGCAGAAAATCCCCCAATCAAGATGTCCAAAGCTTGTTGTGTCATACACAAAGACTCAAAGCTGTAATTTCTGCCAAAGGTGCTTTAACAAAGTACTGAATGAAAGATCTGAATACTTATGCCAATGTGATATTTCAGGTTTTTTTTTTTCTTTTTCATAAATTTACAGAAATTTCTACCATTCTGTTTTCACCTTGTCATTAGAGGGTACTTAGATTAATGAGAAAAAAATGAATTTCAATAACCATAGAATCAGGCTGCAGCATATCAAAATTGACAAAGGTGAAGGGGGTGTCTGAATACGTTCTGAATGTACTGTATGTAGCTCAGGGTTGAATTGTGGGATCTTTGGTGCTCTCTGAGCTCATTGGTGCTAGTATTATCTAGTTGGATAATGAAACATCTGCAAGAAAACAATCAAGCTCAGAGATCACCAAGGATCCGCAGTGGAAAACTCCACTGGGAGAACTGAAAGAGTAGCATATTTTAGGCTTCTTTCAGGGGACCCCCAAGAAATGCTCTCAAAAGAGAACTCAACTGGTGTGAGATTTTTTTTTAAGCCTAACCACAGCATCTAAATCAACTTCAAAACAGAAGCAGTGCTTAAATCTAATAGATGCACTGGAAGCAAACCTGCAGGTGAGCAGATGCATGCTAGATTCAGATTCATTCACGACTAGAATTCATCCCCTAAAATGCAGCTTGGAGGTGTGGGGGGCAGTCATCCCCCCCCCGCCCCCTGAATAATGTAATATTTTGGAGAATATCAAAAAGGTAGGATAGAATATTTCCCCTAAAGGAGAAAGAGAAAAAAACCTTAAGGGAGGCAGAAACCAGCCCGTTTCCCTGCCCCAAGCAGAAACTGAGGCCAGTTTATAGAAATGCAGATTTGGTAATCCATTCAGAAAGACTGAGCCAGACAGAAACTATAGATTGGCTCAGACAAATACCTAGGATTTGCCTTTCTCCTTTTGCCTATAGAGCCAGCTATGACCCCTACATAACCCCTACATGACCCCATAGGAATCTGACAACAGCCATTAGAATATTAAAGGACATGTTCTTGCACAGGAACAGGAAGCTCAAATACAAAGCCCAAAGAAGGTATAAAAACCCACCCACTCTCAACTCCATTTTGTCAGCTGTCCAGAATCACACGTGGTTCTGCTTCATCAATAAAGAGAACCTTTCTTTCCAATCAGCCTCCATTTTAACTCCAGTGCCTTTCTCCTGGCTTGAACCAGATGGACTTTTCTTCCAACAGAAGCATGGGACAAGATTCCTCATTACTGACCCAATCTGCTTTCTTCTCACAGTAAGATCTTCCCTTCTTGTGCTTTAAATAACAGAAAGTTCATTGGGACTGGAGTGAACCCCAATTAGCTTCCTCCAAAGGAATCTTCACAATATAGGAAGGAGCCAGGGGCACTGACAATTTAAAAGCATATTAGATGACATTTCTGTCACTATCTGTTTCTATTTTATTCCACTGAAACCATTTTTTTTTGTTCTTTTCTATAATCCATTGTGTTACAATGCTTTTTAGGATTGAGCCATTCTATCCAGCACTTGAAAAAAGGATATAGATTTATAAAATCTTTATATTATGCAAGAAAATTTAAAACCTCATAACAGCATATCAGAGTGTTCAATTTTTTTTATTGCAATATGTTTAGAATCACTGCACTTTATTAGTTCCAATTTCAGGCTAAAAAGATTATAATACATAGTTATTAGGATATGATCTTTTCAGTTTATAATCATTCAAATGTGAGTAAAGTGAATTAGTATTACTTATAAACAGTCCTATCAATTACATGTTATAATAGTAATCAACTGAAGAATTAACTATGAACAAAAGAATGTAAAAGTTTTAACCTCTACAAAGTCTTAGTTTCTGCCTCTTTGGATAATCCATTTCCTGATTTATATTGAAATAGTATGTTTAAAAAAAAAGTGCAACTAAAAATTATTGATTTAAAAAAATCCAAAATTATATCTGGAATTGGGCAACAGTGCGTACCTTGTGCACCAAGCTAATGAAACAAAATATTCCATTAAAGGCTCAGAACATAATGAATTAATTCAGGATGAGAGAAGAAACTAAGGAAAACCAGAGATAGGAAAGGAATGGAATCTCTGGCATGTTTGGCTTAAACTTTTAATGTTTGTTATAACTAATATACCAACACAAGTATTTTTAACAATCAAGAACAATGAACATTCAATTGTACAAAAAATATGCAAAGTGTTTCAGCTGTAGAGATAATCCCCCAGATCTTCTTTTAAAGGCTAACACAATTGTTTATAATTCATCTGAGATATAGGAATTGAAACAAGAAAGAACTGGGGGGGGGGGGAAAGCAGATGAGCAGACGTAATGCAGGAATGATCAGGATTTCTCTGTCAGTGGTTGGAAGGTCATGTATCATATAATAGTACAGCCACACTTTTTAGGATAATTCTCCACGTACACCTTGTGCTCATTCCCATAGACATAATAGGAATAGGATTTCCTGTTCCATTCATATTCCACTTTGGTAAGAAATACCAGCTCAATGGTTTGTTTCTGCAAAAAGACAAAAACAGCCAACTCTTTGAGAAACAGATTGGTATAGTTTCGCTATCACTATTATTTAGGGACAATCAATTTCCACAAACTTACACTACATTGATCCTCAGCGGCTCAAAGAATTTTTGAAAGCAAGCTGAAGGGGGTCCATAGGTAAGAGAGGCTTAAGAGAGGCTAAAATTCCCTTATAATTGTTGAGTGTCCTGCCTTAACTTGGGAAAGTCATTCATCCTGTGTTCTAAGGCAGGTTGTGGACACAAACTGAGAGGAGATTCCCCACCACTACCGTGAGCCTGCCACTTTAGAGAAGAGGTAGAATAAAAATGCATGCATAGATAATGACACCCGGGTATAAAGCAACCAAACCAACACCACCTTGCTGCTATAATGTACTTGTTTTCTTAATCTTTCTGGCTTCTTTTGAACACTTGTTTATAATTTCAATGTATTAGACCAGAGGTGTTAAACTCGTGTCATCACGGGGTCATCATATGACATATCGCAACTTTTTCCTCCTTCGCTAAATTGGGTGTGGGCATGGCCAGCATGTGATGCATCTGGCCCCCTGGCTGGAATACATATTCCCCTCCATCCAATCCATCCATCCACTGATTTATTTGACGTGTGTGTGTGTGTGTGTGTGTGTGTGTGTGTGTGTGTGTGACCTTAAGAGCCATGGTGATGCAATGGTTAGAATGCAGTACTGCAGGCTACTTCTGCTGACTGCTGGGTGCCCGCAGTTCAGTAGTTTGATTCTCACTGGCTCAAGACTGACTCAGCCTTTCATTCCTCCGAGGTCGGTAAAATGAGGACCCAGATTGTTGGGGGCTGACTCTGTAAACTGCATAGAGAGGGCTGTAAAGCACTGTGAAGCAGTATATAAGTTTAAGTGCTATTCCTATTAAGGCAGTATATGTGTTGTCCCCCACCCCTCAATATTTACCCTGTCTATCACTCAGGAAGTTGCCGCTACTGGAAATAATTCTGCAATATTCCTTTAACATATCTCATTCATTTATTCTATTAATTAATTAATTAAATTTAAACATTTATTTTATGTAGAAGACTAGTTCTCTGGACTCTCTGTACTTCCTAGTACATCCATTAGGGTGTCTATAAGGCCAATTTCTTGCCTTTTCTGTGTGTTTGGTTTTGCTTTCTTTCCCACTCAAACATAATGAACACGTATATTTTTAAGATATATGGATTAGTTTTTAATCATGTTATTAAAGTGTAAATTGTTTTGAGATGTGACTACATGGGAAACAGTACCAAGGTATATTAAAAAGGCACTGAATCTTCCTTTTGACAGAGACATTAATAAAAGCAAAGAACAAGAAACTGCTAGAGGTGTTCATCGCAATCTAGGTCTTTTGCCTTCACAAGGAGAATAACATTGCAATTTGTGGCTCACTTGCAGTAGAAATAGTGATCCTAGATTTATAATTCCAGTAAATAAGCATGTTGGACAATATATTAAGGTTGCAATGTGGGTCAAAACCTCTCTACCTCTGGTACCCCTTGACTCTACATTTCAACTCTGTTTTGAAATGGTAGAAATGACAAGGTGACAAACACTTAAGCCCCTCACCCAATCCAGCTCCTCCGTCCACAATCATAGATGTTTTATCCATCCCTAATTGATATGAATTTGACATGAAACACAAAAAGAAACTGGAAAACAAGAATAGGTTGTAGGAACCAGAAGAGTCCCTAATAGGGGTGGGCTGCTGGGGCTTTGCAGGAGTTTGGAAGAACCTCTAGCTAAGATTCTGTGCCATTTGGAGAACACCCAAATCCCACTCCTGGCTGGCCCCACCCACCCAACCCCGCTCCTCCCAGGGGTCTCCATGTAGCCTGTTTTGGATGCAGGTAAATGCAGGGCATGCGCGGAGGCTCGGGAAGGGTGAAAAACGGGCCTACATTCGGGAAGTTCGGGCCCGTTTCCGGCCTCTGTAGAGTCTCCAGAGCCTCGGGAGGCCATTTTCGCCCTTCCAGAGGCTTGAGGAAAGTCTCCGGAGCCCAGGGAGGGCAAAAACAAAATCCCCACCCCCACCATGGTGCAGGAGGCCAACTAGGCCACGCCCACCATAGTCATGCCCACCCAGCAACCAGGCAGAGAACCCCTTGCTAAAATTTTTGAGGCCCACCCCTGGTCTTAAGTTTTGGAGAGTTGAGATTATATCAGCTCTTTGGATATTAGGCCAGAAGCTGCATTTTAAAAGGCAGCCAGCTACATTTAAATTATAAAAATTAAATACATTAATTCAATACAGTTAATACATTTTTAATTCTATTTCCTTAAATCTTAATTTGCATGTGGCTTTTACAGGAGCCCTGAGAACCACATATTTGGGGTATATCATGCACAATTTGCTCAGAGATACAAGAGGAACAAATTAATAACGCACATGGAATAATTTTATTATGGCCTCCTGGGAGAAGTAATAGCTCCATGCCCAGAGATATTTCCCTTTGAGGATGGAAATTCATTCTCTGATCTTGCGGGTTGTTTTCCAAACATGGTTTCCTCCACAAGCTCAGAAAACAAACCTCCACCCTCATCCTACAGCTGAGCTACAGATATTTGCCACCATCACATATTTCCCTTTCCTTTATACTCCCTATCAGAAGGGTGTATAAATCAGTTAACCCATAGTAACTATGGTGGATCATCACCATTACAAAAAATGTTTTTCTGATCGCAGTTGTTCTCACCTGTCTCAATATCCGTGCAGTAGCTCCAAACTGGGCTTGATGTTGTTCAATGGCATTTCGGGAAGCTTGATTAATAGCACTGATAGGGAAGCTTACCACTGGATGAACCTAGGAAAATAACATTTTTAGGAGATACAAAACTCTAGAACAATAAAAAGAAGGGATGGGTAAAGTTATTGCCCTACACTAACAGAAACGTAACTGAATGCAGAAAATAGAGCTAGATTCAGCCCTGAAACAGTTTCTGTATGGACTAGACCAGTGATGGCAAATCTTTTCGGCACCAAGTGCCCAAACCAGAATGTGCATCCATGCATGCGCACTGGAGCACCAGAAACCTGAAGACCAGCTGGCCGGAGCGTGCATGCTTGCTTTTTGGGCATTTCTGGCCATTTTTCAGGCTGTTTTTCAGGCTGTGGTCAGGCCGGTTTTTGGCTGTTTTCAGGCAAAAAACGCCCCCAAAATGGCTTGGAAAAGAGCCTGAAAAACAGCCTGGTTTTTGGCCGTTTTTCGGGGCATTTTCTGGCACTCCGGCGCCCACAAAGACCAGGAAACCAGAAGAGCAGCTGGCAATGACACGTGTGCCCACAGAGAGGGCTCTGTGTGCCACCTCTGGCATGCGTGCCATAGGTTCGCCATCACGGGACTAGACCCAGGCAAGTACAACAGACATTTACAGTCCACAATATTTTATTCCAAAACTTTAGACTACTGCAGTGGTCCAATGGAGTTGGAGCACTCACAACTTCTGAAGGCAAACCATACCACTGATTGATTGTTCTCAGTGTCACGAAATTTCTCCTTATTTTCTAAGTTGGTTCTCTCTTTGATAAGTTTCCATCCAGTGCTGGATAGAGCAATTACTGGATAGGTTCACGGATAAATGGAAGAAGATATATTGCTATCATCTATCTATCTATCTATCTATCTATCTATCTATCTATCTATCTATCTTTCATTCATTCATTCATTCATTCATTCATTCATTCATTCATTCATTCATTGGATTTATATGACTGCCCATCTCAACAAGTGGTTCTGGGAAGTGAACAAAATTAAATAAATAAATAAACAAACAAACATTATAAAAATTAAAATGCACAGCAGCCAAGAAACATCATAGTCCAAACTACTAATATAATCAAGAAACCGGCCCTTGCACATACTCAGGGACTCAGGCTTGGGCACAGAATCAAGTCTTAAGACATTACAAAAGTCCAGTACGGTCAAAGCCTTCCTGATCTCCAGGAAAAGGATGTTTCGTAAGGTGGGCATTATAGCAGAAAGCGCACAATTCAGGAAGTTCTTGACTTACGACCTTAACAGATCTTGTGTTAAGGATATTATTGAGTTGCACCCGAAGTTGTGGCTTATAAAGCAGAGTACCGTTAGAGTTTTACATCCGGTGGATTATTAACTACATCCCATAGTCCTTCCCTACGCAAAAGCAGGTTGCATTTCATGGACCAGGAAACATAGTTTGTTCCATCCAACCGGGTTATCATGGATATACTGGATGACTGATCTTGTGCCATCTTCACTTGGATACTTAATAACAAACACAGCTTCTGAATAAATTAATGTATCATTCACATCAACTCTCAGTGCTCTAGATATTTCTAGGTAACTCTGGTTGGCTCTGGGCCCATAACCAATGTTAAGGATATTATTGAGTTGCACCTGAAGTTGTGTCTTATAAAGCAGAGTACCGTTAGAGTTTTACGCATGGAAACAGTTTTAGAGTAATTGTGAATAACAGACAAACTGGGTTTATAGTATTTTACTTTTAGGGAAAAACAAATTCATAGTCCTTTAACAATCCAAGTCTTAGCCATATAAAGTGCAATATAAGATCAATCCAGGGATATAAAATCTTCTTACCAGTTTGTAGAAAAATACAAGGAACAATCAGGAACAATATAAAAATAGTTCAATAAATATCAGAAAGCAGTAAATAAATAATCATGATCAAACAGTTGACCATAGAGAGATCAAAAAGAGTTATAGCATAGCAGCAGGTAAAATGGTGTAGTAGTCCACACTAACCATAATTTAGCTCTCCTTAAATACATTGGCTACAGAGCTCAGCCAATCAGGATGCAGAATGACTCAGCACAATTCTTAAAGCTACATAATACATTCACATAATACAAACATACAATGTTGGCTTATATATTTCCTGACCAACCAATTAGGCAATAACCATTTCCTAACATTTTGCTCGTTACTGTTGTAAGTCATGACAGTCAACTGAAGTAAATCCAATTTTCAGCAATTTTTTTTTTTTTTTGTAAATTATGGTTACATAAGTGCCGGACACTGCAAACAAGTCATAAATGTGAGCCAATTACTGACTGCCTGAAATGCAGTCATGTGATTGGTGGGGGCACGGGCCTTCAGAATTTTGGAACTGGGTCATAAGTACCTTTTGGGAGGGATCCGTTATAACGTTGAACAGTTTCTAAGCAACCATTTGTAATTGAGGACTGGTTATATTTATATTGTGCTATTTTTAATTGTTATAATTTGCCCTGAGTGTTTGTGTAACATGCACCTATATACATTCAGGCATGCATAAGTACATAAATACATGCATTCAAATTGCTTTTTTCAATCCTGCCATGGGGTAAACCCTGTTCTTCTACCATACATATTTCATTACCAAGTATTGCTCATCCACAAACAGCTTCTTCCCTTTAACTGCTTTGAAGAGTTCAGTAGGAAACCCAGTTCTTTCATCCACCACGTATTCAAAAATGTTATTTTTCCTGTGAAGGCAAACAACACCATTTACAAAGAGAACCTCTGGTGCATGCCCTATTTTCACAGCAAATCAGATTCAGAAAAACTCTGTGTCGGGAAGAATAAGGTCAATTGCTTATAAAAGCCTCTAATATAGATCAACAATGAGGCAGACACATGATTATGTTGGATTATGTCAAAAAGAGATAAAATGAAGTGAAACCTCAGCATTGCTTCTAAAATGGCTAATGGTGGCTCTGAAATACAGGCCAGCGCCGTAAATCTAGTACTGCCAAAGTTAAGTGACAAAAGATTGTAGCCCAATTTTCAAGATTTAGCCATTATAACTATTTTTGACATGAACTGGAGGTATTCCATTTGTACAGGTTCCAGAGAATTCCAAATGTCCACACTGAAATTCTTCCTTAAGAGGAATGACATCTTAAATTATGGGAGTATTCAACAACAACCAAAATAATTTCATACATGAAAAAAAAGCCTGATGTTTAACCTAAGTATTGTTCATGGAATACAATTTTACAGCTTGCTGTCACATTCAAGACTTGGGGCCTCTTAGAGTAAAGTAACCCTCCAACTATGATTACTTTGAAATCTAAGGTTAATCTCACAATTGGCTGGCTTAAAATTTTAATGGGTTATTTTAAGGGCAATGGGTTTTAATGTTTTGGGAAGCCAATTCGATTTAATTCTGCTTTTAAATTATTTTAAATTTTGTATTGTATGTATTTTAATCTTGGCTGTGCACCGCACTGAGTCCTTCGGGAGAAGGGCGGTATACAAATTTAAATAATAAATAAATTAATTAATTAACCTATTGTTTGATTTTAGTAACTGTTCAATGTAATATAACAGTTTTGAAAGTGGTAAAACCTACAACTGTTATGAAACAATCTATTTTTTTAATCCTAGTTGTCATATAAGAATAAAAGTGAGATGTTTCTTCCAATGGAATGGTTTTTTTCATTTATTTTAATTTTACTTCATTTTGCTACAGAAACTTTTCTAAATTGTGCCTATAATTTGGAATTCCTATGTATTTCTTTTTCCTTCTCTTCATAAAATATAAATAAATAACCCAGAAACCAACACAATAAATAACCCAGCAACGAACCCACTGCATAAATATGGATTGTAAACTGTCTCTGAAAGTGGATGTCTCTGAAAGTGGATTAAAAAATTGCCTTTTAAACATTAAGGGAGCTTGTTGTAAATTGATAAGAGGCAGAAATAAAATTAGATAGGGGAAATATTCGAACGTATATTTTAATAGAATAAACAAAAATAATAGTAAGATTAGAGGTTTATAGATGTTAGGCATTTTTTTTCCTGCTGTTTAAATAATATTATGAGGATCACCTAAGTTTGATAAATGTGATAAAAATTACTAATATTGTTATTGTAATTTGGATTAATATGAACAATGCCCAGAATCAAAACTGTCCACATACAATATGGATGTATATTTTAATTAATTAATTAATTCTTTCAGGACAGGTCTATCAAAGACTACCAGACTTGATGCCTCCATGTTACTTCAGAGCTGGGAACAGTGTGGATCCAAACACCAGTTACATGAGGAAAAGGGACAGGGAGAACAGCAGGAGACTGTTACGTCTCTGTCTCCTGGTTGTTTCCTACTTGGAAACACCCAGAGAAATCTGTTGAGAAATAAAGGCTGGAATGAGAAAGGCTGTTCTTCAATCTATAGGCTGGCAGAACTTGCCATTCAACTTGCAGCTCAATGTATGTCAGCAATTTTCCTGTTCCTCCACAGTCTGTACAAGCAGTTGTCCCCAGGCCAGAACAGACATTGCACCTGTAAAGAAAATGAGACAAGAAGACATTTTCAGAGAGTGGAAATAACAGCATGATCCATGCAGCAGTTAGGATGGAGAAATATAACAAGAATGAACCCTTGAAGTTCTTAACAGCTTGGCTTAAAACCCACTAGCACTTTCTTAAAGAAACTTCAGTGTCAGGTTCCTGACAGAGTGTAAGGACGCCAAACACAAATGATGATTTGAAACAGGGGTGAAATCCAGCAGGTTCTGGAGAACCGGTAGCGGAAATTTTGAGTAGTTTGGAGAACCGGCAAATACCACCTCTGGCGGGCCCAAGTGGTGTGGGAATGGAAATTTTGCAATATCCTTCTCTCAGGAGTGGGGAGGGAATGGGGATTTTGCAGTATCCTTCCCCTGGAGTGGGATGGGAATGGAGATTTTGCAGTATCCTTCCCCTGCCATGCCCACCAAGACACGCCCACCAAGCCAACCAAGACACGCCCACAGAACCGGTAGTAAAAGAAAATTTGATTTCACCACTGATTTGAAACCTGTTTATCCGAACTGGCACGTACTGACCACCATGATAAAGCAAGTGAACCATTTTGGTTCATCCCACTGAACCAAAAAGAGGCAGAAAGAACCCTGTACAGAATTCTTGTGAGGAACACAAATTGTTTTGCATTTAAATTTAAAAAAAAAAAAAAGCACCACAAATAGTAGGAAAAGGATACACCTGTTCAATTTCAGGATGTTTTCCTCAGGATATTCTTCTCTCAGATGGCCTACAACAGTGATGGCTAACCTTTTTGCCATTGCATGCCAGGAGAGGGGGGGAGGTTTGCCCACACCCATAATTCTATGCACCTTGTCCTGCGCATGCACATGCAACCCCTCCCGCCCCCGCTTCTGGCATGCAATGGCCCGGGTAGGCCCCTTTTTCTTCCTTACTTGGCTCCAGATCCTCTCTATGCATCTGGGAAGGGCGAAAACAGCCTTTCCCACTCCCTCGGAGGCCCTCCAGAGGCCTGAAACGGCCCATTTCCCAACTCCCGATGGGACAGGAAGTGACGGTTTTTGCTGTCCCCAGCCTCCAGAGTCCCTCTAGGAGTCTCTGGAGGCTGGGGACATTAAAAAAAGTCACTTCCTGTCCCACCACAAATTGGGAAATGGGCCCTCTCATGCCTCCGGAGGGCCTCTGAGGGAGTGGGAAAGGCTGTTTTTGCCCTCCACAGATGCAGAGAGAGGATCTGCAGCCAGGCAAGAAAGAAAAACGGGCCTTCCCCACCCACCCCCCAGGCCCTCCGGAGGTAGGAAACAGCCTGTTTTCCTACTTCTGGTGGGCCCAGAAGGCCCGAAAATCAGCTGGCTGGTGCGTGCATGCATGCCAGAGCTGAGCTGGCATGCCCACTGATATGGCTACTTGTGCCACCTGTGGCACGCATGCCATAGGTTCGCCATCACGGGCCCTACAATATTCTACATGGAACTAAGTCAAAACGAGTCAATAAACGACGCCATCCCAAAAGCTGAATAAATTTTCTTAGCAGCTTTGTCAAAAGCCAGGATGCTTTGAGCTTGGGCTGTTCAACCTGCGAAAAGCCTAATGGTGTAAGATGGCTGGTGAATCTTTTCTGTCTCAAGACTTTCACCGAAATTTCTGATGTCATTTTCCTAATAAGGAAGATGATCCCTGGACAGATTGGGTTGCTGAGATGTACATGTGGAATGTGCAGGCATGGGTGGATGGGACAAAGGGACATTATTGATTGCATCAATCAATGCATTTATTTCTTACCTTTCCTCTGGGGCCTTCGGTAGTCTTGCTAAGAAAGACAACCAGAGTCAATTTTGCTAAAAGGCTGTTTCTTTTTATGTACTTTCCTCTGGGAATTCAAGGGACGTTCACATATGTATCACCTCATTTTACCTTCACAACAAGCCGAGAGAGTACAGGTGGTCCTCAACTTACAACAATTGAGCCCAAAATTTCTGTTATTAAGCAAGACGGTTGTTGATTTTGCCCCATTTTATGACTTTTCTTGCCACAGTTTTTAAGTGAACCACTGCAGTTGCTAAATTAGTAAGATGGTTGTTATGGGAATTGGGCTTCCCTATTGAGCTTGCTTGTCAGAAGGTCTCAAAAGGTGATCGCATGAACCCGGAACATTGCAACGTCATAAATATAAGTCAGTTGCCAAGCATCTGAATTTTGATTATGTGACCCTGGAGGTGCTGCTATGGTGGTAAGTGTGAAAAATGGTCGTAAGTCATTTTTTTCAATGCCGTTGTAACTTAGAACAGTCACTAAATGAACTGTAAGTCAAGGATTACCTGTAGTCCAAAGTTATACCACATTACTGACTTTACGTCTATTTCCTGGTCAATACCCTGAACCCTTGGAAGAGAAACCTTCCAGTCTTTGAACTTGAAGTTTCCTGATTATTTTCTACTCTTCTAAGTACTTTTTCTGAGTTTGTGATGTTAAGCACCTACCAACATTAATATGGGATGGTGATTTGTATTATACATTTCCTGTACTGTTTAATGTTTCATATTATTTATTGTATTTAATATTTCATATAACTTTGTAATGTATCCTGAGAACTCTGGTAATCTGGGTGGATCAAAAGTGCAATAATAATAATAAAAGTAATATATTTCTTCATCTACTCTAGCAACAAACTTATTACAATGAATTCCAGCAGCTACATGGAATAAAATGGGTTGATATGCAATTTTATTTATGGATCAAGAAGCCTAGAAGTTCTTTGGGTTTCCCAAATGAATGATAAACAAATGAAAAAGTTACCTGTAATAAGATAAGACAAAAGTAAGACAGTCCATAGACTGTCTCCAAAATATAGGAAAAATAAACAGAATTTGCAAAAGATTTTTAAACGTGTAAGGTATAATTTCACAAGTATCTAAGTTCCTTCTTACTTCTTTTTTCCAATGGCTTAGATATTAAAAATAATAGCAATTTCTTCCTTTATGGGAAGAAATTATCAGAAGTGGTGTAGGGTTTCCTGCCTAGGCAGGGGGTTGGACTAGAAGACCTCCAAGGTCCCTTCCAACTCTGTTATTCTATTCTATTCTATTCTATTCTATTCTATTCTATTCTATTCTATTCTATTCCATTCCATTCCATTCCATTCCATTCCATTCCATTCCATTCCATTCCATAGAAGTTCAAGAATAACTAAATAAATACAGCTCCCTTTTTGTTCAGCTTTTCTGCTGGGTAATGGCGCCATCTGCTGGATCTGGTAGATGTTAGAATAAAAGTTTTAGTTAAGCAACTAAATATTGACTCTATTCCAGACAGGTATTTCTGACTGCCATCACTATTACCAACTGGGAAGCTCAGGAATTAGCAGATTTTGGGGGCGGGTGATACTGTGTATACCATCACAGGTATCAAACAATAATAACGGGAAAAATTAAATCAAATTGAAAACAATTTAACTTTGGCCGATATCTCATGAGTTTCATAAGAGAGCTAAGAAATTATTTCATGTAATTTTACTAATTTAAAAAAAAAACCTGGAGGTCAGTGGACACTAAAAGCACCCCAAACACTACAACACACATTGGTTTGTGTTAATAATCCAATGCGCTACATAAAAAGCCTTTTTCTTCTCACACACATTGTGGCATACCACCAAAATTTAAGAGGTCTCTGAATTAAAGGCTGGTGTTTCATATCTTTCTTTTAGCTAGCTTTCTTTTATGTATTGGGATCCAGAGGTTTACCATCTTTAGTTCTGGATGAGGCTGCGTTACCCCAGACAGATCCGGTGCACAATCTGGGTTTTCTTCTAGACTCAACGACTCCTGTTCGAAGTGCAGGTGGCAGTCATGGCTAGGAGAACCTTTGTGCAACTTCATGTTGTGCGCTAGTTGCACCATTTCCTGGATCGCGAAGCCCTGGACTTAGACACTCAAACCCTGATCATCTCTTATCTGGACTACTACAATGTGCTCTAGATATGGGGCAACCCTTCAAGAGTATTCAGAAGCTACAATTGGTTCAGCATACCGTGGTGCAGACAGTTCTGGAGGTGCACATGTAATACCATTCTGACTCAAGCTGTGCTGCTTGCAGATCTGCTTCTAGATCCCATTCAAAATGTTGGTTATCTCCTTTAAAGCCTGTTATGGGATGGGGCCAGGTTATCTTGCACACTGGGACTGGCCCACCCAACATATTCCAACTGAAGAGGCCTACTGTGAACCCTGTCAGCCAAGGAATTTCAGTTGGGGGATCTAGAGGAAGAGTCTGTTCTGCCATGGTCCCTGCCCTTTGGAACATCTAGCTATTGGAGGTGTAGGCCAATCCCATGCATTTGGTTTCCAAAGGGGCCTTAAGACTTGGCTCTGCCAGTTGGCATGGGGACCCATTTGGGAAGTTTTAGGCTGGAAGTGACAGAGAAAGCACCATCCCTGCTCCAGGCAAGTTCTTGTAATTTTAATTGTTCCTATATTTATAGGATGTGGTGACTCAGTGTCTAAGATGCTGAGCTTGTTGATCGAAAGGTCAGCAGTTCAGCGGTTCAAATCCCTAGTGCCGCGTAATGGGGTGAGCTCCCGTTACTTGTCCCAGCTTCTGCCAACCTAGCAGTTCGAAAGCACATAAAAAATGCAAGTAGAAAAATAGGGACCACCTTTGGTGGGAAGGTAACAGCGTTCCGTGCGCCTTTGGCATTTAGTCATGCCAACGAAGACGTCTTCAGACAGCACTGGCTCTTTGGCTTTGAAACGGAGATGAGCACTGCCCCCTAGAGTCAGGAACAACTAGCACATATGTACAAGGGGAACCTTTACCTTTACCTATATTTATAATTTTTTTTATATTTCTATTTTTATTGCATTGTAAGCTTCCCAGAGTCATTATGGCTAACAAGATGGGTGTCATATAAATTTTAACAAATAAATCTCCCTGTATGTTGCACAAATATATTTTCCACCAGTTGTGTTCCGCATCAGAATGGTATATAGCAAATACTATAAGTGTGCTGAGGACATAAGATTCCATAATGTCATTTATTTGTTGTCTTTATATATTCTGGTCCAGATGCTGTACTTCTCTCTCCCTAAGCCATCGAGAGGGAGGAGAGATCAAAAACACTTTAAGGATTCCCAACGAACCCATAAGCCTTCATACTGGACAAATCTACAGTACACACAAGGACTCCTGGCTGTAGAAAACTGCATTATATTCATGAAGACCAGTCTACATTGACAACTCCAGTGCAATCTTAAAGAACAAGTGGGGCTGCTCATCACAGCTCACAAGGTGACTTCCATACTTGTTTATAAAGCCCAAACAGAACTAGAAAAGACGCACAATCCAAGCAAGGATCTCTTCTTGATTCACCTGAGATGTATTCAATTTCCATGCCGATGTAGCTTCTGAAAGTCACTAAATATTTCTTTGAAATGCAGAGCAGAACAAAACAGACTTATTTTTCTCTTTCTGGTTTCTCCGACAGCTGCATGTCCAAATGAGGGCTGCTTTTCAAGCTACATTTCAATTAACTCAGGATTCTGGCTCTTTCAACAAAAGTAACATTAGCATTTCTATTGCACCTTCATATGCTGTTTCCTTAAAGCATGTTCTCATTTCTCTAAGGACATTCAAAATTATGCTTCCTCTCATTTCGCACCTAAAGTCTATTAGGCAGTCTTAGTAAGTTAAAATTAAGAGTGAGATCTGACACCAGGAAGCTCCTTGTCTATTGCTTCAAGTCCACATAATGACGTGACAAATAACTTGTTTTGCATGCATACTTACTCAGGAGGTCCATGCAAAGACTCATAGGGACTTATTGTTTTGGATGAGACCTCTCCATTACAGTTGCATAGAGCAACCGCCTTCTAGATCAGGGGTGTCAAACTCAATATCATTGTGGGCCACATCAGGGTTGTGTTTGATCTTGGGGGGTCAGGGTGGGCCTGGCCAGCTCGACGTCACTCATGTTGGGGGCACCTGTGGTGGCTTGAGCATTCTGCCAGTGAAAACAGGCTCCTGAGCTCTGTTTTTGGCTGTGACGGCCTCCTGCAACCCTCTGCCAGCGAAAACAGAGCTTGGGGGAGGCCGCACGCAGCCCTCCCAAGCTGTTTTCACTGGCAGAGGCACTGTGGGCTGGTCCTTTTCTGTTTCCAGGGCGGCCCCGGGGCCCAGATCCAGTCCCCAGGCCTTGAGTTTGATACCCGTTCTAGATAATATGTTCCCAAGTGCTTTGCTGAAGCAAAGCAACCAGGTGAAGTGGCCCATTTCTGGGCTTTCAACTGGAGCCACCAAGATCAAGTGTCTTATTTTTCAATGAGGCATCACTCCAAAGCAGACTGCTTCAATGATCGGGGATGAGGCAGCTGAAATGAAGTGGTATGTTGCCTCAGATAGCAAAAGTAGTCAGTATGTTGCAGTAGGAAAACCACCTTGATTTACATTCACAAAAGAGACCTAAAACAAGATGGATCAAAACCACCAAGTATTGTGGGTCCAGTTCGCAAAAGAAAGCGCAAGACTGTATTGGTTGGAAATGTGGAAGTGGCCTTCATCCAGAATTGGATAAACAATGACTAGAATTCAGCACATTGTCCCCAACAATCTGGATCCTCATTTTATGGACCTCAGAAGGATGAAAGGATGAGTCAATCTTGAGCCAGTCAGGATCGAACGCCTAGCTGTGGGCAGAGTCAGCCTGCAATATTGCATTCTAACCACTGCACCACCACAGCTCCATGTAAATGTTATTCCAATATTTGAACACATACATATGTAATATGTAATGTAATGATCAAGGGATGCGGTGGCTCAGTGGCTAAGATGCTGAGCTTGTCGATTGAAAGGTTGGCAGTTCAGCGGTTCGAATCCCTAGTGCTGCATAACAGGGTGAGCTCTCCTTACTTGGTCCAGCTTCTGCCAACCTAGCAGTTTGAAAACATGTAAAAAATGAAAGTAGAAAAATAGGGACACCTTTGGTGGGAAGGTAAGAGTGTTCCGTGCGCCTTTGGTGTTTAGTCATGCCAGCCACATGACCACGGAGACGTCTTCAGACAGCGCTGGCTCTGAAACGGGGATGAGGGCTTTGAAACGGAGATGAGCACCAAGGGCTTTGAAACGGAGATGAGCACCGCCCCTAGAGTCGGGAACGACTAGCACATATGTGCAAGGGGAACCTTTACCTTTATATATGTAATGGACCGAAGAACTTGAGGAAGACAAGGAAAAGCCACAACCAAGATCAGATAAAAGAAATCTGAGTCTAGGGCAGAAACATCACTCAAGGAAGCCTCTTAGACAGGACCCTTGCAGTTCTCACAAAAATTAAGGTCGGGAAGGGGGAGGTATATTCAGACTTAGATGATTTTGTTGCTGTAACCTTATAATAAAAGTAAAATTAGCATCATAACCCTGGTTTCCTAGTCTCAGTCTAGCTTAAAGATTTGGCATCACGTAGGACAATCCATTATCATATTATTGATAGTATATCACCCAGTTGCGATTTACAGAACAGAAGTGAGCAACAATCATTTTCTCACATTCAAGCCCAGAGTGCAAATGAAAAAGAAGTACAGTAACTCACGTACATGGTTGTACCTGATCCAGAACAAGAAGAACACTTCTGATTAGTGAACTGGGATCCTGTTCCATTACAGACCCAACATTGCTTCTGTTGACATATAACATCAAATAGAAGAGCATCAAATTAACAGGATTTCCACCAACAAAATTTTTCATTAGTCAAAAGCTGACCTCTACGTTCCTCTTTAAAAAAACAACAACAACAACATAGCACTCTATATCGCGTGGCTTTAAGATTGGGTAGGATTGTGAAAGTGACTAGAAAGATGCCTCATTATGAAATTCCTTTCCTTTAAAAATCCTTACTTCCATGGAAACTGTCATCACTTTTTAAAGTTCCACTCTCAATGGTTGATAGAATAATAAATAAGATAGCCTGAGCTGCCGGTAATGAGGAGAGAGATGCCCAACCATCACAGTCATCATTCTTTCTGTAAATAAATTCACACTGAAAGCTGTGTGTGAGCATAGTGTGCAGCCACGTGGCTATTGACAACAGTGGCAACCACTGTTTAATAACAATATTGTGTCTTCAGGAGGCACACAACATGCATCATCATGGCTTACAATGGAACCAGAAGCGCCGCTGCGTAAGATTGCACGGCAGCTCCTTGGCATGACATTAAAAAACCAGTGATTGGTCATTTCTTCTAACAAAAATATGACTATCGCCAACTACAGGAAAAGCTATCAATTCCTAGGGTAGCTTTTAATTTCACGGTTGTCCCAAAGGTGCTTTTTCAAGAGGCAACTGGACTTTCTGGTTTTTCTTTCAAGATGTTTCGCTTCTCGTCCAAGAAACTTCTTCAGCTCTGAGTGGATGGTGGGAAATGGAAGGATTTATACTCCTTCCAGACAGCTGGTCATTTGCATTCTTATAGAAAGAAGTGTCAAAGAGGCCATCTATGTCAAAATTGAACAGTCCTCTCTCAACTGAAGGGGAGGGATACAACATCATCTTTCTCTAGTCTACAACATAGTCCTTTCAACAGTTCCAAGGCAGCTCCATATCCGTTTGCACCACTCAGGTGACCCTGATGACACAGATAAACATCCAGGTGGCCTTAACAGCTCACTAAAAGAATGCAAATGACCAGCTGTCTGCAAGGAGTATAAATCCTTCCATTCCACACCATCCAGTCAGAGCTGAAGAAGCTTCTTGGATGAGAAGCAAAAGTCTTCAAAGAAAAACCAGAAAGTACAGTTGCCTCTTGAAAGAGCACTTCTGGGATTTTCCCGAAAGAATCTATTAACATAATTACCACTAGATGGCAAAAAGTTAAAAGAGTCTTAACTGCAAAAGAATGGTCATCTGGATTTGTGCAGCTGAGATAAAACTGCTAAGTCTTCTTGCAGATGGAGTTCAAGAAAGGGGTTTGGTGAGTGTGTGAGAAACACATCCAACTGTGGATGTGTTTTTCTTTTATTTTCTTTTATTCACCTCGTTTCTCAAAATGGCTGGCTGACCAATTAACCTATTACTGAGCACCAAATAGTCAACAGAGGAGTCTGAGAAACACTTTCCTGATCCGTGTGTCAAATTACAGCAAATCATTAGTTCCCATCATCTCAAAGGGAAGGGGAGGCAAAATGTGGTTCCACATTGAAGCCATTTATGTGCCAGGTTTTATTCTATGGTAGAATGTTTTTTTTCTAAAAAGAGGGGCATGAGAGGAGGTCACTTGGAATTCCCAGCCCTATGTGCTATAGAAATATAAGACCCCCCGTCTTTTCAATTACAATTTCAGTCAATTTCAGAGGCTCACACTCGCCAGGTCACATGCTTCCATAGCGTGGTGGCTATGGAAGCTGGGTTTGCGATCTCCCTCACAATCAAAACAGCACTGTATCAAGGGGATAGAATTCCTGGGCCAGTTGTAATAAAGCCGAGGTGTACTCTAACCAGCTCACCTTGAACTTCCTCCACGCACCATGGACTCCCCCAATGGCAGAGCTTTTTCCATTTCCTGTGAAAAAACACTCCTCTCTCTATACTGGAATGCCTTGAACAGGCTTCAGTCTGCTTCCCCAGGAGATTATCAGTGAGATGGAGGCTTTGTTGGGAGGACATATCTTCAAATAATGGTAGGTAGGGCTGGATGAATGTCCCATCAGAGACCCAATAAGACTTTTTTTCTGCTAGCAGGCTTTTCAACCTGCTAGCAGAAAGAAAGTTCAACCATCATATTTTCAATAGCACTACTGCTAGCTTTTTAACATTTATATAGCAATACCACTAGCAATAGCACTTAGACTTATATACCACTTCATAGTGCTTTTTACAGCCCTCTCTAAGTGGTTTACAGACTCAGCATATTGCCCCCAACAATCTGGGTCCTCATTTTACCAACCTTGGAAGGATGGAAGGCTCAGTCAACCTTGAACCGGTGAGATTTGAACTGCTGAACTGCAGCTAGCAGTCAGCTGAAGAAGCCTACAGTATTGCACTCTAACCACTATGCTACCTCAGCTCTTAATTTGTATCAATATGAATATCAACCCTATTTGCAAACTGATGCGAGGATGTCAACTTTTTAATCTTTTTTTTTTTAAAAAAAACTTTTCCTCAGGGGACAAACTCTTCCACAGAAAGCAAGACATGTCTCTGACTTAGAAGTACATACCCTTGTGAGGCAATGGCACTGGGTGCAGGGTCGCCTGCCGGAACAGCCACATATCGGACATCCCTTCAAATAAAAAAAAGTGTTAAAGGCAGTCTTTAACTATGACTGGCTCAGCTTTGACAAGAAATGTAAAATTATTAATCAGCGCCAGAAAGTTATTTTCTTTTTCAATGCTCTGTCCATGCTCCATAGTTTCCTCTTGAAAATCCTTTCCACAACAAAATAAAATAAAAATAAAAATCAGAGCTGGTAATAATTGCTTTATAATTAAAGAAAGCACCCTGAAATTATGATTCTTATTATTCTACTGCAATAGTCCCCTATTTTGGGGCAAAGTCTGCACCAGCAAATAAAAGAAATGGTGTACTAAATTTAATTTTTCATGTTCTAAATGTATACACGATTGTTTACTTGAATGGATCTCATAACTATCATCCTCAGTTTCCAAAGGTTTTTTTTAGGATTTTTCTACTGTGCTTTTTGTTTTTCTTCGAATAGCAAAAAAATCCAAATATTAAGAATTCTATAAATAAAATATTACCCGGTTATATATGCAAGAAAATAGGCTTGCTTTCCCAGAAAATATTTTCTTCAAAAACCAATCCCAGTTGGTTTAATTGCTTAAGTCACCAGTGGTCCATCTTTCTGCCACATATCCTATCCGGATGAGGATCAATCGAACAATCTAACTATTTATCACAATCTAACAGTGAGGAGAAAACAAGGCAGTTTGAATGTTGTGGTTACCTAAGCTTGTGTTTAAGCCTCAAACACGTCCACCTCTGTTTACTACATTTCTCCCCTCGGGGTTTGTTTAATATGAAGCATGTCTGAATGCAGAACTTTAACCACCTGCATCTTTTCTAAGATAGAAAGAAAATGGGCTGACCATTTAGCTATTAAATGGCTATTAAAGCACCCTCAGCACTCCCAAAACAAATCCCCAGCTCCTCAAAGGAAAGGTGGACAGACTTGCTTAGAGATGCTCCAGTTACTTTCTTCAGTCAACCCCAAAGAAATCTCTATTAATGTTCCATTTTAATCTAGTGTGAACTAGAGTGCAAAGTCGGTGATCACTATTGACCTTCTCCCACAGAAGCAGCAGGAGCTTGAGAATTAAGGCTGCAATTCTGTGCACTTAAACACCTCCCAAACCAAGCTCTACATAATGTGATGCAGTTTATATTGTCCCAATGAATAAATAATGTAAAGCAAAGAACAGAATTTTACTGAAGAGACAGAGAGAAAGAGGGAGGGGAGGGGAGAGAGGGAGGGAAGGGAGGGAGGGAAGTCCTGACAACTAGAACTTTATCCTATTTTTGCTTTCTGTACCTTTACTGTTGAAGTATGAGGCACTTTAATTCTTATGATGTTGTCTTTGAATATTTCAGGAACTTCTACTCTCATGTCCCAGGGAGAAGGAGCTGCACCATACATCGCAGAATCAACAGGTTCTCCTGATCAAAAGCAAGGATGATTGGACATGGTCATAATATTCTATCTTGCGCACAAACATCTCAGCAGCATAGCTTGGGACATACGTATTTGTTCTGCTCCAGCTCCGGATTTCCGAGGATATTGACACACACCAATGGTCCTTATTAAATTTATTAACTAGCAAGAATAAACCAAAGTCTGGCAAAGGTTGGCAACTAGCCCAGAAAACAAAATACGATAAGACTTTTCCAAAAATGCTCTGATGATAATTACAAGTTGTTTCCAACAAGAAACTTACTAACTGTGTGTGACTTAAATAGCTAAGGGACTGGCCAATTATCCTCAAGCCTTACTCTCGAGGAGACCTCCTCCTCCTGAGTAGCCACTTCTGCCTTTGGCAGCCGTGCATGCTCGAGCATTGAGAAGAGGCTCCTCCACTTCACTCTCTCCACTTGAAGGAGCCTCTGGAGGTTCTGAAGGCCCTGGTTGAGTCTCTGCCTCTGGCACCACATCCTCTTCAGCCTCCTCGCTGTCCGACGCGAGCGTCGGCTGCGCAGGCTGCTGGCGCAACACCACACCAGCCTCCTCGTCATCGGGATCAGCAACGATCCGCGCAGGCCGCTGGCAGGCCACAATAGTATTTCATTTCAATAGGAGGGAATATATGTAACTCAGGGATGAACTGCAGAATCCTTAGTGTTCCCTGGGCTTGGTTATCCGCTTTCAAACATTTCACTACCCAACTAGGTAACCAGATAACTGCATCTTTAACCTGGACGGTCTCCATTTGTGGACTTCAACTCCCAAACTTATCATGTTGGTTAGAGAATTCTGAGAGTTGAAATTCTCACCTTTTTGACTGTGTTTATTTTCGCAAAATAGTTCCCTATTTTGAAAAGCAGGAAATAATAAGTAATAATAGCAAAAAGAAGTCCATTTTTCTCAGAAAGCAGATAAAGCCTGAATGTCATGCAGTTCTTATATTTCATCCTACCTATATAAGTGGATTAATATTTAAGTATTAAAAAAAAAAATCTCCTTTCCAAGGAACTCAACAAATTATACAGTTCATTATACTAGTGGAATTCTTAAGCAGCACTTTTGCTGTATAAATCACAAAATGCATTACCGTGTCCAAATTAATAAATTCTTGTAGTGGTGTAAATAGATCATTAATTTCCTAAACTCACATTAAACTTAAACTGGTGCTGTAAAGCCATATCCATCATCCTTTCTCTTGGCAGAAGTTAACAACTAAAGTTTGAAAGTGAGGAGAAGCATATTAGCTTCATCCTATGGTTTTGTTATCCTCATATCCTCCTCAAACGAGGTAAGGGACTCTTATAGCCATGGTTTCCCAGTGTACTGAATGAAGCATAAGGCCCTGGAATACAGAACACTCCATGGATACAGAAACTATCCTCACACACATAACTTATAGGATGAAGCATGTCTCTACTCCCCACATTGCTGCTACTAAAACAAAAGAATGTATAAATGGGTCTGACAAATTAGAACAAAATTGAATGCGACATGACACAATGAAAATTGATGGTGGGTGAAGCAAGATGTCTCTAGTATGGAATCTGAATCCCATATGAAGCTTAATATTTTATTTATTTTTATTATTTTTTATTTATTGAATTTATATGCCACCCTTCTCCTGAAGGGTTCAGGGCGGCTCACAACAATAAGAAACAGAAAATACAAAAGTTAAAAGACAAATTAAAACAGAGTATCCAATAAATAAAGTTAAATGTGGGAATATCAATTCAAATTTAAGATTTAGGAATATAAAAAGCTACAAAATCAGTATAGAATCAACACAGGCCCGCCCATTGGAAGAGCCAGGTCTTCAAGGCCCAGCGGAAGGTTCGGAGGTCAGGAATTATCTGGAGCTCCAGGGGTAACGTATTCCAGAGGGTAGGGGCTCTCCCCCTAGGGGTCACCAGTCGACATTGTCTAGCCGAAGGTACCCTGAAGAGGCCAACTCTGTGGGAGCGAACCGAATACAATCCAGTGCCATCCCTATGACTTCCCCAATAACTACCAGGAGGAATACATTTGAATACAAATCTACAATATATTGGAGCAGCAAAATCAAAGTTCTACTATAGCATAGCAACACTTACCTCTATATGGTATGGTTTTCCATAATGAAGACCTTGATTCAGTGAAAGTCTCCAGGTAATACTAAAAAAAAAATCAATCAATAAAAAAAACTACAGCTTAGTCTCAGATTAACAGAAATCTCTAAGAAATATTATCAAAGACAGCCATGGATTGCAGAGAAGACCAATATCTTTACATATAATAAAGAAACAACTTATCACAATGATCAAAACTGCTAGTTTAAAATTCTGAGTTAAGATTGCTTTAACTAAAGTTTTATTCTGCTTAGTCCATATAACTAGGATATTGGAAGCTACTGATGCTGGTTTCTTGGGCCTTGTTAGCTCGCAGATGTTTCATTACAAGGCTAGGTAATATCATCAGTGTAAGAGAGGGCAGGTTTTGCTGTTTTTTATATATATAAAACCCTGTTTCCCTGAAAATTAGCACTGGCATGTTTTATGCATGCATCTAAGCCCTACACACACACCCCAAATAAGCCCTACACCTAAACCCTAAGAGGGTTGGCACAGCTGGCCGGCCATTCCATCTGGTTGCTCACGATGCCGCGGCCACGAGCTGAGATAAGGGGGGGTGTAGCTACTCCATGCACCCTGCAGCAACTTCCCTCAGGCCTCCGCAGCCAGGCCATCCACGCCCCAACCTGCCTCCCAGCGGCAGCACCAGTAGCCATGTGCAGCAGGAGCCCATGTGGCCACCGGCTCACTTCTGCTTGCAGAATGCAATGGAGCAGAAGGCTGAGTGGCGCGGTAAGGCAGGGGTTGGGGCATGGGTGGCCTGCCTGCAGGGGACCTGAGGTAAATCAGTGCAGGGCATGTGGGCAGCTCCACTCTCCCCTGCTTCGCGGCAGCAGCATTCACACACCACATGGCCTCCTGCCCCCCACTCCACAAGCCAGAAGAAGTGGGCCTCCTGTACATGGAAAAACAATAAGAGACCCACCCACCCCAAAAATAAGCCCTAGTACTTATTTTGGGGCCCAAAAGACCCGGTCTTATTTTTGGGAAACATGGGTAGGAGCTTGCCCTGAGAGCTAAAGTATTGTTTCTTCTGTGTTTTCCTAGTGCGGTTTCCTCTTTATCTGTACTTGGCTGCTGGTGAGCTGTTCTAGGTTGTTTGTTTCCTTCCCTGACTTTTGATTGTATCTTTAACACAGTATGTAAAGGGAATTTATCTCGGTGTGTCTATTGGTGGTTGATTTGTGTAGATGCCAAATTTCCAGGAATTTCCAAGCATTTTAGCACAAGAGACTATTAATTATGGCCCCACAGCTGATGATAACCAAGATTGTCTAGAATTATGGCTTGTTATTGTTATTGTTATTGTTGTTGTTGTACTGTTATGATTTAGGGTGAATGTGGCCCACAGCCACTGATTCAACCCACTAATCAGAATCCACAAAATGAAAGTTATATTCTATAGTACAGGGGTCAGCAACCTGTGGCTCTGGAGCCGCATGTGGCTCTTTCATACCCTGCTGCGGCTCCCTGTCAGCTCTACAATTGATAGGGCTTTCGGTTAGGACAGGTAGAGGAAAAAGGACGCCACACTAGGAGGAGACTCTATGGCAGAGGAAGTGGACTTCCGGTTGGCTCCAGAATTGAACAGGGGGCTTCCAGTTAAGACCTTTGTGGCTCTTTGAGTGTTTAAGGTTGCTGACCCCTGCTATAGTATAAAGTCTTAAGTATAATTTATCCAAAGCTGAGCTAAAGTTACAAAGTGCCAGCAAGTCAACTGATTTTATGAAGTTTTTGTTCCTCTTCCCTTCCTGTCTCTTAAACATATACAACTCTGTACATAAGACATTGAGCAACAGATGACTTTCTCAGTCCAACTGGGCATCACATGTTATGTGCTTGTGTTCCCACGTTGAATTATCAAGCTGCCAGTTTCTATTCTCTTTCCAATCACTTATTTCCTGGTTGGAAGATTCTATCTTCACGACTGATATATTTATTGAAAAAAAGTAAATGGGTAAGGAAAGAAGCAAGAAGGAAAAAAGGGAAAAAGCAGCAAGCGACAGAAGAAATACAAACCATATCTCAACAGAAGTGACAGTCTACTTAACATTCTCCCCATTCCTCCAACTGTTTTTTTACAGTCATCACTACACTAAATATTATTCTCCCAGGATTACAGATAGGTGTCCATATCTCTCCATGATGCCAAAATGACAAAAATGTGCAATGTGACACAGCGTTTGCACTATGTTTTGTCACTTGCCTATGTTTTGTCACACCTTAGATTCAGATCAGAAGATGGAAGTTTAATAATGGTCTCGTCTAAGACCACTGAATAAATTTCAGGAGCCTTGGTAGTACAGTGGTCTAAACACCCTGTTATTAAGACCAACTGCCTGCAATTACTGCAGGTTCGAATCTCGCCAGGCTCAAGGTTGACTCAGCCTTCCATCCTTTCTAAGGTAGGTAAATTGAGGACCCAGTTTGTGGGGGCAATAAGCTGACTTTGTATAAATATACAAAAGGATGAAGGCTATTGCTTAACGCATTGTAAGCCGCCCTGAGTCTCCGGAGAAGGGCGGCATATAAATCAAATTTTTTAAAAAAAAATTGTGGAAAATGAAACTTCTCATCAATTATTACCCCCCCAGTTGAATATACACAAGTTGTATATTGTAAATATTGTACTCCTTCCTGGATATCAGTCTGCCATGCTGTTCTCAATAAGGTGAATAGTAACTGGAGAAAGAATCTATTCCATTATAGCTCCTGATTTAATTATTCTCCTGTTGGATTCACTTCAGGTACACTATTGAAAACCCCTGGCACCTTGAAATAGAGAAACTTTTATACGTTCCATACAGGGGTGAAATCTAAAATGTGTTATTACCGGTTCTGTGGGCGTGGCTTGGTGGGGGGAGGATAATGTGACTGGGTGGGCGTGGCCAACTTTTTTTTTTTTTTTTTTACTTTTAAAAGCATTTTTTCTACAGCCTCTTCGGCCGAAGAGGTTGCAGAAAAAAATGCTTTTAGGAGCCTCTGACGATCAGGCAACTCAGCTGGGATCGCCAGAGGCTTTTAAAGGCATTTTTTTTTTCTACAACCTCTTCGGCTGAAGAGGTTGCAGAATAAAATGCTTTTAAAAGTCTCTGATGATCCCACCTGAGCCGCGCGATCATCAGAGGCTTTTTTTTTACTTTTAAAAGCATTTTTTCAGCTGAAGAGGTTGTAGAAAAAATGGTTTTAAAAGTAAAAAAAACAGCCTCTGATGATCGCGCGGCTCAGCTGGGCATGGGGGCGGGGCGCAGGGATTGTTGCTACCGGTTCTCCGAACCACCCACCGCCATCGCTACCAGATCGGATGATCCAGTCCGAACCAGGAGCATTTCACCCCTGGTTCCATATTTTCTACATGTCCTTTCTTAAGCCATTTTATCCTGAAATTGTATATTGTTTTGTACGAACTGCTGTTATTGTACTTTTAAATATTCAATGTGAATTGCCTTACACTCTTTATAAAAGCCAGAAAACTGCAAATCTTTCTGAGCATATTCAGATCAATAGACACAATATAAATATTTGTGAGAAAACTGTGTGTAATAAAATCAAGAACATCGGGGGTGGGGAGGCGTCTTGGTTCACAGTTTCATAAACAGATCAATTTGCCTTATTGTGGAACAAGCGACGGGCAATGGTTCTTCAAAGCTTTCCCTGTATATATTAAGAAATATCCCAATCTTATTGGAAAAAGTTGGGGCTGAAGTCATGAGTTTACCTACAGATGTAAAGCACTCTTCTTGTACTAATTGTTTGTTAATTAATTAAGTTTGTGACCTACATTTTTAACCAAGGTCTTTATGCAGCATATGGTCCAAATTTAACATACCGTATTTTCCGGCGTATAAGACGATTGGGCGTATAAGACGACCCCCGAATTTTCCTGTTAAAATATAGGGTTTGGGCTATACTCACCGTATAAGACTACCCCTCTTCCAACACACACCAAATAAAAATTAAAAAACATCAACTGGCTCACCCACAATGTAAAAGCAGCTGTGCTAGACCCAAAATGGCCCCTGCAATAAGCAGGAACCTCACACAGCCACAAAAAGCCCAAAAAAAACAACTTTCACACTTTACACACACCCAACACAACACACAACTGGCTCACCCACAATGTAAAAGCAGCTGTGCTAGACCCAAAATGGCCCCTGCAACAAGCAGGAACCTCACACAGCCACAAAAAGCCCAAAAACCCAACTTTCACACTTTACACACACAAAATTCCACATGCAGCTTTGTGAGATTTTGTGTGTTTGTGTAGTTAGAGTGAAACACTACAAAAACACACTAAATCTCAGAAAGCTGCACAATTATTATTTTATTTTATTTTATTTTTATTTTTATATGAAAGCTAAATTTAAAACTTCCTAAACTTTAAATGGCTAGGTCTAAAAAAGAACAACTAAAAAAACCTCCAATTAACTATTTTTTTTAAAGATCCCAAATGGGAAAAAAACCTACCCAATAGAACAGGAGTCTCCAGCCTTGGCAACTTTAAGACTTGTAGACTTCAACTCCCAGAGTTTTTTCCTTTTACATGGCTCTGGCGATCCCAGCTGAGTTGCCTGATTAGCAGATCGTCAGAGCTTGGATCGCCAGAGCCATTTAAGGCTCGTCAGAGTCTTTCGGGCTGGTCTGCCTGGTTACAGGAGAATGACACCCAGCGTATAAGACGCCCCCTGACTTTTGAGAAGATTTTCATGTGTTAAAAAGTCGTCTTATACGCCAGAAAATACGGTATGTGATCCTCAAATTTCTGTTGCTAAGCAAGTGAGTTTCAAGTGAGCTTTGCCCCATTTTATAGCCTTTCTTGCTACAAGGTGTTAAGTGAATCACTGCAGTCGTTACGTTAATAAACACAGTTGTTAAGTGAATCTGGCTTCGCCATTGACTTTACTTATCAGAAGGTCGCAAAAGGGGATCATATGACCCCGGGACAATGTAACCGTCATGAACGCATGCCAGTTGCCAAATGTTCAAATTCTGATCACATAATGCTGCAATGCCCCCTTGGACTGCAAGGCGAACAAACCGGTCAGTCCTAGAGGAGATCAACCCTGACTGCTCTTTAGAAGGCCAGATCCTGAAGATGAAGCTCAAATACTTTGGCCAGCTAATGAGAAGGAAGGATTCACTGGAGAAGAGCCTAATGCTGGGAAAGATTGAGGGTCAAAGAAGGAGGGGACGACAGAGAATGAGGTGGCTGGATGGAGTCACTGAAACAGTAGGCGTGAGCTTAAATGGACTCCAGAGGATGGTAGAGGACAGGAAGGCCTGGAGGAGCATTGTCCATGGGGTCGTGATGGGTTGGACACAACTTTTCAACTAACAACAACAAAGGCTGCAATGGTTGTCAATGAGAAAAATGGCCGTATGTCACAATTTTCAGTGCTGACGTAACTTCAAATAGTCATTGAACAAATGGTGGTAAGTCAAGGACTACCTGTGAATGACTTTATATACAGTTTGTTGCATGCACGCACACACATGCTAATGTATATTCTGCTTACTCTGTAGGTATTCAGTGCTAGGAGATCCTGAAACATCAAGTCTCTGGCTGGAGCTTTGCTGTAGCAACACTTGCTTGCAGCGTACTCGATAAAAGCTTCTTTGGCTTCATCTTCCGAAATAGCAGGAATACTGTGGCACAAGCAAAAGCAACGGAGACCGTGAGCATAAATCACAGGGCTAGCTTCAAATACTCCTCCAGGACAGGGGGACATGCTACCTTTTGAGTTGCTGGGCACGGTCAGAATTTTTAGAGCCTCTCTGGTTTCTCCCACAAAATGAAAAACCCCGGTGGGCACACTCGGTAGCCGACCGTCATTTATCAGGTGACAAAATGGAGAGGCCGCTATTGATTTAGGATTCTCATCGCCTCTCTCAATGACTTTGGGTTTTAGTATTTTTTCCCCCTTCTTCTGTGTTTCCCCCCCCCCAAAAAAGCAACCCATTGTAGCTACCCATCATTTTACATTCAAAGAAAGCTTTGGGGGGAAAAAACAGTGATGCTGGAAACAAGTAAATAAAAGCCACGTGAACTATAGGCCTACTGGATGCTGAGGAAACCATGCTTTATAAGGAACATAACCTTCCCTGAATAGAAGCAGCTCTTATCTCCTGCTTGAGCTACTTCACTTTACAGGTAGTCCTTGACTTACAACCTTTCGTTTAGTGACTGTTCGAAGTTACAACAGCACTGTAAAAAAAATTTATTTATGACCGTTTTTAACACTTATGGCCATTGGGGCATCACCATGGTCACATGATCAAAATTTGGCCGTTTGGTAACTGGCTCATATTTATGATGGTTGCAGCATCCTGAGATCATGTGATCAACTTCTGTGAGCTTCTGACAAGCAAAGTGAATGTGGAAGCCAGATTCACTTAACAGCCATGGTACTTGTTTAAAAACTGGAGTGATTCACTTAATAACGGTGGCAAGAAAGGTCATAAAATGGAGCCAAACTCACTGAACAACCATCTCATTTAGTAACAGAAATATTGGGCTCCATTGTGGTTGTAAGTCAAGGACTACCTGGGTATCTGTTGCACTTTCATGTTTCTCTCCCTCCAGATAATCAGCGGATAACCATTTAGTTTACGGCAAAATAAAATATAAATAAAACAAAATAAAATAAAATAAAACAAAGTAAAAATAGATTCTTAGAATCAAAAGAACAGTATCCATCTTACTTCCAGTTTGTCTGAGCTGGCCTTGGCTCACTTTCCCGATAAGGAAGCGAATCAGGTGGAGGAGGGAAATTCTTCCCTGCTGCAAAACAAGGGAGTAAACGTGAGAAAAGAGGTTGCAGGTTAAACAGTGGCCAGTGGTCTGTGGTGGAAAGAGCAGTGAGAGTGGCTTATCCTATTAAAAGTCATCCTAAATTCAAGGTTCTTATTGTCCAGTAAGTATCCTGCTATGCTCAGGTTGCATCTGTTTACAGTGTAATCTGTAATCTGTTTCCTTATAGAGTGTTACCAAATACAAGCAACAGGTGATGGTTGAGCAGGTGGCCAATGGATCACGTGGGTAGAGAAAACAGATCTCTATTTTTTGTCCTTTATGTTTAAGAGGAAACCTATGCATTTCTCCTCTGTTGTCAAGTCCCACTGTGTTCAGTGGCTCGCCCCACTACGTAGGTCAGTATACTTAAGATTTTAAATCCTGTACAAACAGAACCAATCTCTCAATGTCCTCCATGTTGGGGAGGAAAATCTGCAAAATCTGCCTCTAAGTCCATGGAAGTGCTGTGTGTGATTGATTTGAGGGTGCTTGCTCTCTGGAGTATGTTCATAAACTGGGAGGCTTTACATGGTGGACTTTCACTCTCTCCACTTGCATGTTTATATTATTTATTAAAGGTATAAAAAGTTATTGGCACCACCAATCTCGCAACTCAGAGACTGCAGGTGGTAAGATCAGGACAGGATGAGCAAACTTGTCCGTGTTTCCCTCAATGGGATCAAGCTCTCCTCTCTCTGCTCCAGTCAGTTACTGTCATTATTTGTTTCCACACCCTCCTCATTCACTCTTTTTCTACACCTCCATCTGCTACTATTGCCACACTCCACAAATATAAGTTGATCTGTTGTTTGCAGATCAAACAACAAGAGCCATGGTGGCACAGTAGTTAGAATGCAGTATTGCTGACTAACTCTGCCGACTGCCAGCAGTTCGATCCTCACCGGCTCAAGGTTGACTCAGCCTTCCATCCTTCTGAAATTGGTAAAATGAGAAGCCAGATTGTTGAGGGCAATAGGATGGCTCTCTAAACCGCTTAGAGCGGGCTGCTAAGCACAGTGAAACGGTGTACATGTCTAAGTGCTATCGCCATTGCAATGTAATTATTGGAGGGCAAGGAATCTTCCTTTCAGATAAATATGGTTAATTCCCCCCAAAGCAGCAAATTTAATTGCCACAAAATCAACACAAGAGCCTTGGGACACTTTAGTATTCAATATATTATCACGTGGATGTCATCGTTTTCATCAGTTCTACACCAAACTTACCATCTCCAACTGTAGTGCCTTCGTAGCCAGACACATTGTTTACATCAAAGGCAGGCGGAGCAGAAGGTACTTCAGTTGTCATAACAGGAGATGTGATCCCTACAACATGCAACGGAGAAACATTAATACTACCAGCATACACGCATTTAACAAGCCATATGAAACACAGCATCTAATATATTCTCTTTGTTTCAAAAGTAACATGATATATACATTGGAAGAAAAGTCTAAAGTGCATTTCTCCCCAAAATGATGGTCATTTGATACAACCATTAATTTATGCACCTTGTCTTCAGAAAACTTTAAGACAGAGGTGGACAATCTATGACTAATGGGTCACAGGTAGTTCCCCCCAGCACCCTGCTTGCAGCTCTCAAGTTCCCACAGCCCAACATTTCAGATCTATCATTTCAATTGGAACAATATTTTTATGGAGGCTTAAGGCACCTCTCACCAATCCTGAGAACCCCAGAACACTGAATTACTTTCCCCCCCGCCCCCTTGGGACTTTTAAGAGGAAAACTGAAGAAGAACTGAACAGTAGGATATACCGCATGGTGAAGGGCGAGCAGGCAGCAGCTCCGCAGCAAGGCAGGAGTTGGGGAATGGTGCATTCCTCAACTCAAGGGAATGGGGCGGGTGGGCGGAGCCTCCAGCTGCCATTGCTACCGGTTCTCCGAACCACTGGCCATCATCGCTACCTACTCGCCTGAGGCGGTCCGAACCGGGAGCATTTCACCCCTGATTTAAAGTGACAATCAAGATTCTGATTCTGATTCTATTCTATTCTATATTTCTATTCTATTCTATTCTATTCTATTCTATTCTATTCTATTCTATTCTATTCTATTCTATTCTATTCTATTCTATTCTTCTATTCTTCTATTCTAATTCTAATTCTAATTCTATTCTAAATTTACAGTGCTTAACCAGAACACAGCCTGTGTTCTAAATGATATTCATATTTCATAACTATGTACAAGCTAACTGCACAAAAAGCCAGTTTTTCTTATTAAAAATATAGCACGCTCATCCCGTGATTCAGCTCAAAGAATCTTCTTGATAACTATTCATATAATACTAAAAGGTTATATTATTACTCAGTTTATATCATCTGTCAATGAAATGTAATAAGACAGAGAAATACAACTTCATGTTTCTCTGTGCCGCAAAATCCAATGGGATGAACTTTGACTGATAATCATCTTTCAATCTAACTTACCAAGGGATAATGTCAGAATTCAATGGGAAGTGAATGATACGAAGAGCTTTTTAAAGGAAAAAGTGAATAAAATATAAACAAACTGATATGGATATTTTAGCAGGTCACCCTGCTTACAGCTGGAATGTTAGGTCTATTTTCTCCCATTCTTTATAGGATAATAAAGATAGATTGTCAGTGTATACTGGGAGTGTAAAAGAATAGGAGATGATAAGGAATCTATTTACCCTAGAAGTCAACAGTAGGATTTTATATAGTAATACAATTTATTATCTAAGACCAGAAGCATGGCAAGAGGGCAACTTAACTCCAGAACCTTAACATTAAAATAAAATGTTTCTCTTAAGTCATTTTAATGACCTAACTGTGGGACCAGGGCTACTTACTCTAGTAATGAGAAGCTACAAGCTTTCTGAATAGCATAGAACCTGGAAGGTTATGATAACTGGCAACCTTGTATGGAATTGCAGTCTCTGCAATTCTTCTCACCTCATACATAAACATCAAACTGCCATGCAAGTAGGAAATCATCATGACACCAGCAAGACCCACATTCCTTACTATATAGTCTAAATGCATGTCAGATGTCCTCTGGTGATACTGATTTACTCAAGGATAAAGATAAAGACAATAAATCCATGCAGCCTTTCCTGCATTTAGAACACCAGAAGAGTCCAACATACAACAATCAGAAGAGGCTATTCGCAGGGTATGCCTCTGGTAAGTTAATGCCTATGTGAAGTGACCCCTCTTCCCCAAACAAGCAGATGCCCCCTCTTTCAAAGATAACATACTCTACATCCTTATCTGGATGACTATAAAGTATTAATCAGCCAACATTTCTTACAATTTCATGTAAATTTTGTAAGCCAATTAGGTGTAGTGGTGAAGGCATCACCATGAATTCTAGTTCCACCTTAGTGTTCCACCTCTTAAATTCCACTCATTCTCTCTCAGCCCTAGGAAGAAGGCAATGGCAAACAGTTCTGAAAATCCTTGCCAAGAAAACAGCGGGGACTTATTTAGGCAGTTGTCAGGAGTCAACACTGAGTTCAAGGAATGTTTGCATGCATAAATGAATAAATCATCAATGTTTACATTGTTTATATAGACAAACATAACTCCTGCTTTAAAAAAATTATAGATTTGGATCAGGGGATGCAGATGACTTTCCACACACCATCCCTCATCATCCTTTTCCTGGATGTCAACCAGATACAGCCAAGCTACAGAGTACACCAGCCTTTGCCTATCCATTAGCTTAAGTCTCCTCAGATAGCAACAGGATCTTCCCCAGCTGGCAAACAGTAGCAATAACAATAGCACTTAGACTTATATACCACTTTGCAATGCTTTACAGCTCTCTCTAAGCAGTTTACAGAGTCAGCATATTGCCCCCAACAATCTCATTGGTCTTCATTTTAATCAACCTCGGAAGGATGAAAGGCTGAGTCAACCTTCTGCCGGTGAAAATCGAACCTGTGCAGAATTAGCCTGCAATACTTCATTTTATCCACTGTGCCACCATAGCTCTTTCCCCGATTCTCCATTTTCATTTTTTGCACTCCGTATTCCTTTTCTCTCTAGCGAAGGGTTTTCTAAGCTGTGCTCCATGGAACCTTAGGGTTCCCCAAGAACTTGATGGGGTTCTATGACAAAAGGCAAAAAAACCCCAAAGAAGTTCATTTGACCAAGCCAGAAGCATCTGGAAAGAGTGTGGGGGGGAGAAGGGTTCCTACTGTAAAAAAAAATGTACCACAGTTGCCATTTTGTGGATTGAGTTCTGGGATTTAAAAAAATAAAATAAAGCAGGTTCTGTGGCCTGAAACAGACCGAGGAATAATCAAGACATTTTCACTGATGCTGATTAGAAAGGAAAGGGTAACCATTGCCCTGTTGCCAGTAACACAGGCGTGGCTTTCTATATTTAATTTAGGGAGGGGGGGTTGGTTTTTTTCTTTTAATTTTTGGTGCTTTCAAGTCACTCTTGACTCCTGAGGACTGCCTAAACTAGTCCCTGCTGTTTTCTTGACAACATTTTTGGAAGTGATTTGCCATTGCTTGCTTCTTCCTGGGGCTGAGAGATTGTGATGGGCCAAAGTCATCCAGCTGCCTTCCATATCTAAGGAAGGAATAGAATTTAACAGTCTCCTGGTTTTTAGCTTGGTTCCTTAAACCACTACGTCAAAGTGACTCTGTTCCACCAACTTTAGCTACTTTAAAGCATTCCGCAAATGATTCCAACGTAATTAAAAGTAGCTTGTATATGTAACCGAAGCAAGTTTATTATAGGCTGAGAGATGGAAGAGTACTGAAATTCTTACAGTGGAGGAATGGATCATAAACATGTCAGAACTAGTGAAAATGGCAAAACTGACCTCTCTGGTCAGGCAGAAAACAAGTGTTATTGTTTTTTTTTTAAAAAAGTCTGGAAACCTTTTATAGACTTCTCACTAAAAGAAGAAGAAAGTGAGGTGATTATTTATGAATGTAATTATTGAAACAGATGAGAATTGAATAAGGGGTTGAAGGGATTTCTGGAAGAGTTAAGAGGGAGGATAGACAGTAGGTTTGTTAATATCTGTCAAAGAGAACATTGGAAGTCATATTTCATAATTTTAGTTTTCTTTTCTTGCCTTGCTCTTCTTTCTTCTTTTTTATCTTTTATCTTCTTCTTTAGATTTGCCTTATACCAGGGGTGAAATGCTCCCGGTTCGGACCGGATCGCCCGATCCAGTAGCAATGGAGAACTGGTAGCAAAAATCCCTGTGCCGCCCCCCCCCCCCACCATGCCCAGCTGAGCCACACGATCATCAGAGGCCTTTTTTTTTTTTTTACTTTTAAAAGCATTTTTTCTACAACCTCTTCCGACGAAAAAATGCTTTTAAAAGTAAAAAAAAAAAGCCTCTGATGATCGCGTGGCTCAGCTGGGATCGTCAGAGCATTCAAAGCATTTTTTTCTGCAACCTCTTGACCAAAGAGGTGGTAAAAAAAATGCTTTGAAAAGTTTCTGATGATCTCAGCTGAGTTGCCTGATCCTCAGAGAGGCTTTTCAAAGCATTTTTAAAAAAGCCTCTCTGACGATCCCAGCTGAGTTGCTTGATCGGCAGAGAGGCTTTTCAAAGCATTAGAAAAAATGCTTTGAAAAGTTAAAAAAAAAAAAAGTTGGCCACGCCCACCCAGTCACATTACCCCCCCACCAAGCCACGCCCACAGAACAGGTAGTAACGAATTTTACATTTCACCCCTGCCTTATACCCTATGTAAAATCCTCAATAAATACAGGTACTCCTCAACTTACATCAGTTCGCTTAGTGACCGAAGTTAAAACGGCACTGAAAAAAGTGACTTACGACCATTTTTCACATTTATGAGATTGCCGCATCCCCAAATGGTCACGCGATTTACATTCAGATGCTTGGTAACTGGTTCATATATACGATGGTTGCAGTGTCCCAGGGTCATGTGATCCTCTTTTGGGACCTTCTGACAAGCAAAGTCCATGGGGAAGCCAGATTCACTTAACAACCATGTTACTAATTTAACAACTGCTGATTCACTTAAGAACTGTGGCAAGAAAAGTCGTAAAATGGGGCAAAACTCACTTAACAAATTTCTCACTTAGCAACATACATTTTGGGATCAATTATGGCCCTACGTGGAGGACTGCCTGTATAATAATTTTTTAAAAACCTCAGTGTAATCGAAGTAACATTTATAGTTAATCAGTGTCCACCAAGGGTCAAAGTGAACACCATTGAGTACAGGTAGTCCTCGACTTACAACCACAATTGAGCCTCAAATTTCTGTTGCTAAGCGAAACATTTAAGTGAATTTTGTCCCATTTTACCGCCTGTAGTTGTTATGTTAGTAACAT